TTGCCCTCGGCTATTGCCTCGAAAGAAGCGTAAGAATTGCCCGAGGCAATAGCCGAGGGCAACTCTAGCTTCTTTCGTACTCTCCAAACTCATTAGCTGAGAGTTAGACATTTTTTTTTTTGGTCCGGCCCTCTGACTCTACATACAGGCAAGAGGAGCAAGTGGAGTCTAATTCAGTCTGTAAGCAAAAGAGTGGTTAATCCGACGACCGCGAAGCGAGAGTGTTATTAGTCAATCACAAGTATTCTTTTCTAATTACAGCTTTATTTCATAACACAAGACATTGAGGAAAATGTTACAGCATACATACAATAAATTAAACTACATTATTACGTAAGAGGAAAAAAAAAAAAGAATAAAGAAAAAAATGAAATGAAATAAGATAAAGAAAAGTAAACAAACAACACTACAAAGAAACATTCCAATGCAGTTTGATTACGAAATTACAATGTTGTGGAAGAGGGAAATAATTAGGATTTTAACATAAAAGATAAACCTGAAGAAAGGCTGCTAGACAAATGGAAGGTAAACTAAATGTAAAAGTGCCATTCTGAGTTACCATTTCGTTATTCTAAGGGCTTCACGATTCGTCAATGTGAACATGTTGGCCGATTCTGTCCACGTTACTCACAATACCTTTAGTAAACAACAGGTGGGACTAAAATGCACGCAAAAACTAGCTATAGTCAAAGTTTGGCATTGCGACAACATTTACATCAAATGAATGCATAAGAAGCTATGTTTCTCAGAGCCAAAACGCGTAAAATGTTTAGCATAAAAATTAATAGTTTCCCATGGGAGTGCCTTCTTTAACTGGCTTTTGTTTTTGTTTTTGCTAGGATAATTTGACGGCACGATAGAACGAACAAGCATAAAATGGCAGACAACCGTGGAAGGGGTTTTACCGCTAAGATTTAACAAGTTTTCTATTCTCTGAATAAAATCTGTTACCGGTGTCAACTGTGACCAGACTTGTGTGGTTTAGCATTCGTCTCTTTTTTACTTATACACACAGTTTGAAGGACTATTTTTTTTATGTGACGTTCATTTTGATTTTTTTGCCTTCGGTGTCTAGAGAGCTCACCTACATTCATCTTTGCACGATTTTATGACATTGCATCTGATTATGTACATTGCTACCAAAGGAAACTTAAACGCAAAATGGACTTGTTGATGAGAGCGGCGTTTATCGGAGGGAAAGAAATTCCAAATTAACACTTGAGACAAACAAAAACAGCAAGGTCTAGTCCTGAGCATAAAACACACCTATAACAAAGAGACCGACTTGGTCATTGGTTATGTCGCGTGTTTTGGACAAGCCAATGAGAAGGGACCTTTTACAAAGCTGTATCAGAAATAACTCATCACAGAGGCCAAACTTTTATTTAGTTCGACCGTCACAACGTGCAGTTGAGCTCTCCAACTTAAGCGGCTAGATTCACACGCTGTTTACTCTGAATTGAAATGGCTGACGACGACGTTGCTGCTTTGGTTGTGGACAATGGCTCCGGTATGTGTAAGGCTGGTTTTGCAGGAGACGATGCTCCCCGTGCAGTGTTTCCCTCCATCGTCGGTCGCCCAAGACATCAGGGTGTGATGGTTGGTATGGGTCAGAAAGACTCGTATGTCGGCGATGAGGCTCAGAGCAAGCGAGGTATTCTGACTCTGAAATATCCCATTGAACACGGCATCGTAACCAATTGGGATGACATGGAGAAGGTAAACTAAATTTTCTATCATTTATGCTCAGTACGCTCTTAAGGATCCCCTAACAAGATTACTTTTACATGTATAATTCCAGATCTGGCATCACACCTTCTACAACGAGTTGCGTGTAGCGCCCGAGGAACACCCAGTTCTGCTAACAGAAGCTCCGCTAAACCCAAAAGCCAACAGAGAAAAAATGACACAGGTAAAATCGTTGTCCTTAACCACATTTTTCTGTTTTTATTTTTTAGTCTTAGAAAACTGTTCACTTTACTGCAAAATCCAAGGACGTGTGTACAGTACATTTTGTACAAATCATTATTCATGATAGCATAATTCAAACTTAAGGGCGCGAAATTAAGCGGTTAATTGTCTGAGGTGCCCCTCTCGATTTCCTTCCAAGGCGTTCAGACGTACAGATTGGTCAGATTTCAAACCATTTTGTTTTCCCGGTCAATTATTATAAGTCACATTTAACGAAATCAACAAACTTTGAGTATTAGAATGAAAGACTTTCACTGGTTCAATGATTTTGAAGTCATAATAGAAAAAACGAGAAGTAATTGCATGACTGATTTTTAATTATTGTATTTTTGTCTGATATAGCCATACATTATTATACAAGTGATATCGTTATAGATTTCTAACGAGATGATTTTGAATTACAACTTATCGAACGGGAATATGGACCTTCTAAAAAGCTATAGGCCAGTCTCATATTTACTTCACAGATTATGTTCGAGACGTTCAACTCCCCAGCCATGTATGTAGCTATCCAGGCTGTGTTGTCTCTCTACGCCTCTGGTCGAACAACCGGTATCGTCTTTGACAGCGGAGATGGTGTCAGTCACACAGTTCCCATCTACGAGGGCTACGCTCTTCCCCACGCCATCCTTCGCCTCGATTTGGC